ATGCCTTGGGAAACAAGTCAAGCAGATCAAAATTATGAAATTACGCTAATGCGAATGTGAGTGGTTCATTTGGTGACGCGTTAGCGCTGCAAGCAGATGTGGCTAATAAACAATGGCGGTCCTGCTTTCCTGTGTGACTCATCGCTGTCTCTGGCCAAAGGCCTCTGCCTGTTTGCAGGGATCTCCGGCTAAATCAAAAGCGCCTTTCGCAGCACATGGCAGTGACAGGCAGCCTGTCGCTGACGAAACTCACGTCACATTCACTGCTTTTGGCCACAAAGTATAGTTGTAGTAAACCTGGAATGGTTGGAACAGCAGTGTAATAAACAGACTGGGATTAAAGCACATTAACAAAGGCTCAGCGAACACATCCACACTGAGTAGGCAGCTAGGTAGTCAATGCCTAGTAAAAACAGGCTGACCGGTTTACTGCGAATTTGTGGACGAGGTTGTTCAGGAGATGGATCGGAGCTCGTAGGAGCGGCGCTGTTCTGCTTGTAGGCTCTCACTGCCCCTGGCCACCTGGGCGGGAAACCCTGCTGAGCAGCACATGGCGGCCGGCCAGCTGCACATCACGGTCACGGCCAACAGGAAAGCGGGGCTGGGGTGACGCAGGAAAAACAATAACACGCCCCCCTCCACCACAGAGCCCGCCCCATGCTGTCCAAACTGCAACAGCACCAGCCTTGTAAACAGCGGGAACCACACTGCAACGGTGGAGGGAGGACAGAGGTGGAGGACTAGGAGAAGGGGAGAAAGGGAAAGATGGGGAGAGGTAAGCAGAAGAGGAGAAGGTCAGAGGCTGTGCGACACGCAGCCATTAAGGAAGCAATAAGTACTGATCAAAACCAGAGACAGCATACAGCTCAGTACTGTATGTATGACCCAACCCTACCCTAAACCTACCAGAACCCTACCCTAACCCTACCCGAACCCTACTCGAACCCTACCAGAACCCTACCCGAACCCTACCTTAAACCTACCAGAACCCTACCAGAACCCTACCCGAACCCTACCAGAACCCTACCCTAACCCTACCCTAAACCTACCAGAACCCTGCCAGAACCCTATCCTAACCCTACCCGAACCCTACCCTAAACCTACCAGAACCCTACCCTAACCCTACCCGAACCCTACCAGAACCCTACCCTAAACCTACCAGAACCCTAACCGAACCCTACCAGAACCCTACCCTAAACCTACCAGAACCCTACCAGAACCCTACCCTAAACCTACCAGAACCCTACCCTAACCCTACCAGAACCCTACCCGAACCCTACCCTAACCCTACCAGAACCCTACCCGAACCCTACCCCTACTCTAATCCTAACCTATAAAATCCACTAAAAAATAACGGTTTAACTCCTTATTTAGAGAAACATTCATTTATGGTTATTTGAATAATGTAACATGTATGTCTTAATAATGTAGTATTCATGTGGGATAAGCATTTAGTAAGTCAACTGAGTCAACTAATCAGAAAACTGACAGAATCACACGTAGTGTTTCTAATTTTTGTGCTCTTCCAGCAGATGGGGTACATTGGTCCT